TCTAGGCTGGACTAGTGTAATTATTAGGTTGTCCAAATAACCTGCTTCCCACTCTGTATTTAATTATTAGTCATTACTCATTCCTGCCTCTTTTCCACAGTGTCATTTTTCCAGTCTTTCACGGCAGATAGCTGGCCCTGCCTGAGCCTGGTTCTTCTGCAGGTTTCTTCCTTTAACCCTTTCACACATAGTGGTCACTACAGTGGACAGTTATTCAAAGGCTGTTTTCTTGTATTTGTGTCAGTGTTGATGGTATACACGCACATAAACCACTACATTGGACACTGATGTATCACTCCATACCCTTCCACCCACTCCAAAGGTGATGTTGTCCACCTAAGTGAACATGTAAAAGACTCTTTGAAAAGTACATGTTTAAAAAAATAAAGTTCAAAAATCAGATGAATAAAAAATACCTAAGAAAACAATCCTGATTGAGGTTGTCATAATTCATGCATGAAAGGGTTAAAAGGGGAGTTTTTACTTCCCAGTGTTGCTAAGTGCTTGAACATAGGGGTTGTTTGGTTGTTGGGGTATTTTCTCTATTATTGTAGGGTCTTTGTCGCACATTATAAAGCACTTTGAAGAGACTGTTGTGATATGGTGCTATATAAATAAAATCGAATAGAAGAAGCATTGAAAAAAATCATTGCTCTTTGCAGACACTTAATGTTGTCTAATGCTATATTTGCAGCGATCACAATGTAGTTTAGCTAATAATATATTTTTTTTTAACATTTTGAGGCCTGACAGTGTTTGTAACATGGCAAACCTCAGCCTGACATCTGAATGCTGCTTCAATTAAAGGGTACAACTTAAGGAAATCGGATTTTTGTGTGCAGGAGGGAAAATGATGAAACTGTAACTGGTTTTATGCTGAATAGGTGAAATAAATGCAACAGTTTTCTTTTTTATTTCAAAATTTTTGCAGGGTGTGACAATGTACGTGATCAAAACAAAAATTGAAACAATCACTTCTCCCACTCTGTTGATCTCCACTGTACATTTGAATATTTAAAGGAAATCCTATACACCATCGACAGACCTTTCTGTGTTCACATTCTTTCTGTGTCAAATTAAGGATTTTTCTACTTTAAGGAAACGTTACATTTCACACATGCATTGGCATCCGCAGTTTCCTGTTTATCACAGAGATGGTGTGAAGTATCGTTTCTATGCAAAAGCACATTGGTGAATGACTCAGGATATAATTATTAGAGAAGCACTTCCTTCACCTTGACACTTTTGGTTTCGGTAATTAGTCAGTACAAACCAGCAGGTTTGAAACACAAAATTAGAGCCGGTAAAAAGATGTCGTGTTCATTTGTCTTCATGTCTTAATATTGATTGTGTAAATTAAGCCAATCCTTAATGACTCAGTCAATTCCTCAATCAAAAGAGGAATTGCCATAATTTTCTAAAAGTAGTAACATAAAGGTCAATCTTTTTTACTCGGAAAAATGAAAAGGAATCAACATTGCTACTCCCTTATTCTGTATAACAAAGAAATGGGAAACTGAATGTGCTGAATAAGATTTAATGCTTGAAATTGGTTAGGAAAATTACGATTGCATAAGGTGACTGTTTTGTCACCTCATGAGAAAAGGGTTCTCCGAGGAGTTGACTTGATGACTACAGTACAGCTCACCCATCATGCAGCTAAGCGTTTTTTGTTGGGTTTTTTTGCACAAGTTAGCATAAGTTTTAGTTACCCTAATGCCAACTTAAACCTGAATCAAAGTGGACCATAAGTGCAAAAGTGACATAAAATGACAATGCTTTAGAAAGAAGTGCTGGAGTAAACAAAACAAAACAACTGTGACCTTATTGACCTGTGAGTAGCAGCGTCACAAATGAGTCTAGATATTTAATTTTTTAGAAAACCATCAGAAATACTTTATTAATCCCAAAGGAAATGTCCATGCCTCACCAGTTTGTTCTGTGCTACAGTTTGTAAAACTATTTTTACTGTATTGCTTTATGCTGCAAGGTAAAAACCTACAATATTACAGAGAGAACCGTAATAATCAGACAATCCCTTGTGAGAAAGCACTTGGAGAGAGTGGGGAGGAAAAACTCTCTTTTGAAAGGAAGAAACCTCCAACAGAACCAGGCTCAGGGAGGGGCAGCCATCTGCTGCGACTGGTGGAAAACAACATAGGAGAGTGTAGCCAAGAGTTTCTGGAGGTTGCTGGCAGTCATTAATGTCGCTTCGGTAAATAACAGGTTGATGTGGTTCACAGTAGTTTGCATGGAAAACAATAAGTTGTCTGCAAACACTCACAAAATAGTCGCTGAATGGGAGTGACACTGAAAAGTTCAATGCAAACTGGAAATAAAGACCATTCACCTGCAAAATAAAAGATGCGCAGTTTGAAGCACGTGTGTTGGAGCTGTAATGCACAATTTTTACTTTGAAGGTGAACAGTTTGTAGTTTGTGTTGCACTTTGTCAACTTTCCCTAATTTTAAGTTTCGCCATGTTGCAATTGTTTGTGTCTATGGAGACTCTAGAGACTAACTCCGGGAATCAGACTTTCATGAAAGCTGGACAGGAAGTCAAACACAAGAACAGTATAGAGAAGACATGAGATTTTCAAAATAAAAGCTTCAGTGCATGCTAAACGATAGACAGACTGGATGGACATGCTGACATCACCCACTGGTTTTGAACATTTTGAATCTTAATTTTGTAAGATAATCCATTTAAAATGCGTTTTAGAAGTGTTGTGGGTTATTATACTTTTTTTTTTATTTTTAAAGAAAAGCATTTTTGATGGAAGAGGTCCAAAAGTGAACGAGGCCTTCCAGACACCAGTAGCTACAGCTACCTGTGCTGGGACGCTTGTCAGTCATTACAGCCACACATCAAATAAAGTCACCCCACAGAGATTTTATGAAGGGGGGGAAGTAGAAAAACATATTTAAATTTGGGTTTACAGTTGTGGAAAAATTACAAGGTTGGGAATTTTTAGACTTAATTACACCAGATCAAAACTGTATAATCAGAGCACAAACACTGTCTTTTATACAATGATTGAGTGGCGCTGGTGTTATTCAGTCCCTTCCTGTTATTCTCCACTGCAACTCCCCGAAATGCAACACAAGTGTTGAATTTATTACAGTCATTGTAGGCAGGTGAATGTGGCATGCTGCGTAGACTTTAAAAGCGCAACTTTTTTAGTGTTCTCTTCTATCCAACCACAAGATTGATTGATCAGGGGGGTCCCCAACATTTACTGCACATAGATCATTTTTATTTGTTGCTGGAATGTACATCTCATTTTCATATACGAGAAGCACAGTCTAATTTTAGGGTCAGAGACAAGATCCCCCATTTAATAACTTGACAGAAGAGGAAGTGGTTAGCAGCCCCTCAGAGGCAAATACAGAAGTGCTGCTGTGCCAAGTCTAGTTGTTCTTAAGCACCAGTGTTGTATTTTCTGTTCCTGATTCCAGGCAGGTTAAACCCAGTGTGAAGTACCAATACTAAATCTGTTCTGGCCTGAATTTCCACGAATCTTGACCACAACAGTTGCAGTTTACAGAACTGTCCAGTCATCAGTTTTATATCCATGCCTTCCTAAAGAAAAGCCATGATGCACCACCTTAGTATATGTTTTTTGGCCTGCTGGCCCTCCACCCAGTGCATGTTTGGTTGTACCTGCTGTAACTGATTGGTCATTTTTACAGCTATGAAACAAACATCTGATCGCTGAACCAATTAATATTTTGTGTTAATGCCGTGAAAGCCAAATGGGTCACAATTCCCTTGGTTGTGGGTTCAAAGTGCACTATGGTGAATATAAGAGAGCTGAGCCTGAACAGAGAAAATGCAGTTTGTCTGACACCATCCTTTTCCTTTTCCAGAATAACTTCAAAGGATATTTGCTAATATACACGAATTGCTTTGTTTGCACCTGTTCAATAACACAAACATCTAATTATCCAGTCACATGAGAGAAACTTAAGTTCATTTCATGTTTTTAGTTTTTGACTCTCTAGTACAAGTTTTCAAGCCTTCCCATAGTGTAAACTTGCAATACGTAGGTGTGTGTTTAATCTTTGTATTAGTTGCTCCCTGTTTTTTTTCGGTACTCCTTTGTGTCTTGTGCTTTGTGTGTACTTTTCCCTCCCCTGTGATTGTGTCCATTGTGTGCACCTATGTCTCATTTATTTGTATGTATAGAGTATAAATAGTGCCATCTTCCCCTTTTGTCTGAAACCCTTTCTTGTGAGTCTTCCTGCCTGGATTCTGTTTGTTGTTTCTTTTGGATTGCTGTGCACCTTCCCTGACTGGAAAATGTTGCTTGAAAGCACAGATCCATCCTGCCTGTATCAACACTCAAAGCTGGTTTAATGGTGTAGGGGATATTTATTTTTAGTTTAAATAACACGAGTGCTGTTTCTGACCATGTCCATGTCTTTATGACCACACTGTGCCCATCTTCTGATCGCTGCTTCTGTCTCACCATGTCACAAAGCTGAGATCATCTCAAACGGGTTTCTTGAACATCACAGTGAGTTCACTGTACTCAGCTGGCCTCCACAGTCACCTGATCTCAATCCAGTAGAGCACCTTTGGGATATGGAAGAATGGTAGACCTTGTGCAGCTGATAAGCCTGCAGCAACTGTGTGATGCTATTGTGTCAATGTGGACCAAAATCTCAGGGATGTCCAATCCAGCACTATTAGACTGATGAGGTGTCTGAGTTTTACCTCCAGCCTTAAATTTGGAGCCGACATCTAATAATCAAAGAAATCCAATATTAATTGTACACTACATTTACATTTAGATATAAACCTAAATACAATAATAAAATGTTATTATATAACAATATGAAATTATATTTATAATTTTATTTTATGACTCAGTTTTTTATATTGTAAGTGGTGATGAAATGCGGTGTTTGCCATATTTAGCTCAGTCAGCAAAAACTACAAAAAAAAAAAAAATGCCACAGAGTTTCCAAACTTACTTCCTCTTTTTCAGCTTTATAAACCCACACTCGACTTCATTCACTCTCAGACTTTCTCTCTTGCATCCTCACTGGTCCTCAAAGGTCAAAACAACCATCACGAAGATGAACAAGCCACTGCTCCTGCTGGTCGCTCTGACTTTCTGCTGTTGCATCGCGTCTCTGCATGGTAAGAAAACATTACTGCTTTAATTCAGAATATTTGTACATTTTGGTATCTCACAGGAGGGCAGCCAAAATATGCCATTTGATTTTGAGGTCATATTTATTCATATTTATCGTCTTTAAATGTATTTTATCTTGTCTTGGTTCACATGATGTCATAGTTTATTTATTCTGGTTTTTTTTAAATGCATTAAAGTACAGTACAATAAAAAAACAAGCTTTTTAAGTAGGTTGTAGGTATTACCCGTGACACTTGTTTTGAGTGTCAAGGGTAATACCTGACCTTAAAGACAGAGCAACAGATCCATTTACTGGCTTCTCTGGGGCTTTCAGCTGCATCTTAGTGCTTTGAAAAACTTTGAAATGGGACTGAAAGTTGCAAGATTTGTACAAACATATATAGATGCATAGTAATTTTGAGCCTTAACAAAGTCAGACTGGTTTAATCTACTAAAGACTAAAATAATAACTAAATCCTTTTTTACAGGTTTTCCCATTAACACCTGCCGCTGTAGGCGGACGGTCGCGAATCCTATTCCTCCTAGAGCAGTCAAGAAGATAGAGGTGACTCCTGTCTCAGGACACTGCCCCCGAACTGAAATCACGTGAGTACTTGCCACTGATCTGGAGCACTGGGTTGCACAGATTCTCAGTGGGCCGCAGGGTAAATTTAAAAAGAGCATCAATTTGAAATACTCTTTGGTATTAGCTACAAAGCCAGAGCGGGAAAGTTATGAGTACATTTTAGCTAATAATTCACATGTACTGTGCTAATCTAATGTTTTCCTGAAGCTTTAGGTGAAAGTTTATAATAGGAAGTTGAAACACTCAATAGAGCCCCTGGCAACTCTATTATAACTCTCACTGGTCTGATGTCTGGTGTCATTTTGGCACACAGATCTGTAAACTGAAAGCAAAAGGGAAAGTTGTGCTTCGATTTCTTACTTTTAAGTCTGTGTCAGGTTTAATCAAATGTGTGCAATGTGCTAATTTCTCCATTTTTAATTTCTTCACAGCATCACCGTGAGGAATGGTAACAGGATTTGTGTCGATCCAGAGGCCAAGTGGTTTCCAGGCCTTCTCAACACTCTGCAAAAGTAAGGAGCTTTATCACCTACAACACATATAATCACATTTAATAGACCCGACATAAATAACGTTTACCTAACTTGCTGAGAATATCTTTTTAACTGAGTTGCTGTTTTCAATGAATTTTGATGCTACATTTATCTATCTTAGCTACCTGGAAACAAACAGTATTTTTTTCACTCCTATGTATATTTATTGTGTCTAAAGGAAGGAAAACACATACTAGTTTACTGTATCTGTCACTGCTTTTTGATTTGTATGATTGTTATTGGTTATTCCAGCTATTCTGACTCCATCCTTTTGTTTTGATTACAGGAAAACTGCTGAGCCAACCACTGTTTCTAGCTTCTGATCACGTTTCGTGGCATATCGATGCCTTCAGTCATCAAGCTGTGAATTACCGGAGGAAGGCTGACCCACCTTCCATTGTTTATGTCACTGTCTTTTGGTTTTGTATTGAACCTTTTTGCAGTTTCATTTATTTTTAGTGTTTAAGGGAAAAAAAATTATAACGTATACAAAATACCATGATCGAAATGTGACCTTTTATACCTGATAGTATTAATGCGCTGTCTTACCATTTTAAAGAATGTATTGAAGAAAATGAAATACTGCAGTATTGATGCACAGATTTGAACTTTTATATGTTTTGTATCTGTTAGTGTTACCATATCTTACTTAAGAAACATGTATTTGTACTGTTTGATTAAAAATGGATGATTTTAGCATGTTGGTTAGGATGGTTTTTGTCACTTTAGCACTAGGGTGCTATGACTTCAATTTATGTTGTAATTTGGATTTTTGTTTTTTTATATAAAAAAAGATAAGAATAAAGAACTGACAAAAAGACTTAAAAATGAAGTTTTATTGCCTGCAGCGGGTGTGGGTGGTGGTGATGGTGGGTTCGGGACTGTGTGGGAGGTTTAAAATCCTGGTTTTGATTTGTTGTCATTAAAATTATAATTTCGGTAACAAAGTTTTCTAAAGTTTTCTTTAAACATAAAAACACAAAGCACTATTCTTTGGGAAGTATTTACTTTTAAGGCAATAGTATTGTATTTTGTATATAAACAGTTTGACCCTCAGATAAATCTATTGACCTTGAAGGAGAGGTCAGAGGTCAAACGTGACATGATGAGTTTCATCTTCATGTGGTCCTTTCTGTATGTTGAAAATCCACAATCATGGTAGAATTGTAGCTCCTAAGTTATATGGCTTTATATCAGTTTTACACCGATAAACAGTTGGGGACTTATGAAAAGTGTTTCTAAGGATAAGCTGCAATAACCCTGAAGATTTCGCTATTACTAATCAGGCTTTACATAAATGTAAATTAACATTAACATTGCGAGAAAATGACATCCCCCTTTTGAGAACACTTTCACAGAATTGTATGTTTGTGTTAGAGGAATCGGTATTTAAACTTACCCATATGGAAAAGAAATAGTAAAAACTTATATGATTTACTCATGAAAGGGGCCACTTTCTGATTACTTTCATATATTGTTTTAGTAAGTATCCAAAACATACAAGTTTCATTATATAATTTTTCAAGGGATCTTATATCTGTTTTCACTCTTGTATGCTTTTCATACAAGTTTCACACAAGACAGATACAAACTTTATAAGATTTATATATATCTTTTCCATATGGGTAGCCTAAATGCCAAACATGAGGCTAAGTTTGGCTTTGGTAAGAGCTGTTCACCACAGCTGACAGTTTTCCAATCAGAGGACGCTGCCTGCGGTGGATGCTTGTTGGACTGGAAACCAGTGTGGTAAAGAACTGCATGCCACCTTCATTGATAACAGTTTTAAATGTGGTTCTTTGAAAACTCTCCTGAGAGCTAGAGTAGCACCAGCTGGTGGCCTGAAGACACATGCCCAGTTTTTGTCCTCTTACCTTACTCTACTAAAACAACAGTGTAAGGATTTTTTAAAATTCAGATTTAGAAAATAAAAGTTGGTCATCTGCTCTGAAAGTGTGTGGAACTCCTGACTTGCTTAACATGTAATTTTACTGAAGAGTTCTCATTCCTAGCATTCGTTTCCATGTCTCACTATAGGACGTGCCTCCCTGTGTATTCCTCAGAGCCACCCACTCTTAAATAGCTTGCGCTATTACACAGTCGTTATTCAAAAAACGCTTGTGTAAATTAGACACGCTGATCCCCAGCACAGAGACAGAAGCCACTTTCAAAGCTCCTCAAGAGAGGCAGATATTATCCAGGCAGCTCATATAGTGGTGAAAGTAAAGTTTCAGTCATGACTGATGTCGCCCTTCAGCATTAATAATAATAATAATAATACATTTTATTTGAAAGCGCCTTTCAGAACACTCAAGGACACTGTACACAGCAGAATAATAAAAGCAACATAAAAGCAAGCAGTTTACACAATCATAAAAGCATAAGACATAAAACAAAGTTAAAATAGCAGAGTGGAGAGGTTATGTGGTATAAGCTACTTTGAACAAGTGAGTTTTGAGTTGGGGCTTAAAGAGAGAGAAGGAAGAGATATTTCTTAAATGGAGGGAATTCGAGGAGCAGAGCAGCTGAAAGCCCTGCTCCCCACGGTGTCAAGACGGGGGGAGGGGGACAGAGAGAGAGAAAGGGAAGAAGAAGATCTAAGATGAGGTGGTGATCTGAACCAGATCAGAGAGATATGGAGGAGAGAGATGATGAATAGCCTTAAATGTGTACAAGAGTATTTTGAAATTGATACGATATTTGACCGGGAGCCAATGAAGCTGCTGCAGGACAGGAGTGATGTGGAGCCACAGCTGTAAAAGCTGCTGGTCATGATATCGGTTTGGATATGTGGTGAGAGGGAAACATGAAGATGAAACCAGGAGATGTCCTTACTGAATCATCAGAGCTGAACAGGTGATGGAGAAACAGGTTTACCTTTTAGGTGACATGGATGAGTTGAAGGGAAGTTATGAACTGTTTCTGAGAGACAAATAATACCAGGATCCTTTTCTATGTAACTGACAGCTGGTAACTGTGCAGGGGCGGCTCTAGCAAAGTTTTGCCAGGGGGCCAGATAGGGCATTAACAAGGAAAGGGGGGGAACAAAGAAATACTTTTCTTTCTTATTCTAATTTAAATCTAGCTTTTTAAAATAATTATCTGAATCTTACAACCAAAGTTTTTATCTGATGTACAACGTATAGAAATCATACATATACCAACAAGACAGTACATCACTGTCACAACAGCGTTTGTTTTCATTCAAAGGCTTTATGGCTTTTCCTGTAATACCTGGTGGGCCGGTCTCTTGTCAAAATGCCCGGGCTGATTTTTTGTCCCAGTCCAGCCCTGAGTCCAGCTGTTGTACATCGAGCTGCATTTACAACCTTAGTTAATTCAGACAGGGAAATAACCTTGAAGTCAGACAACACCAACAGGCAGAGCAGCTGAGTAGTCTGATGAAAGTACGTGCAGAGGCCAAAACCACAGCCCAAAAATCAAACTCTGGCTTTGGGTCACTTTAATTCCCTTTTTTTCTTGATATTTTCACTTGATAATCATATTTAGTCAGTGCGCCCCAGGGCGGCTGTGGCTACAGTGTAGCTGCCATCACCAGTGTGTGAATGTGTGGATGACTGGTTGTGTAAAGCACTTTGGGGTCCTTAGGGACTAGTAAAGCGCTATACAAATACAGGCCATTTACCATTTACCATTTAAATTTAATTGTAAGTGTAAAAAACAGCAGTAACCGTAAAACAAAAAAATAATGTAGGATTAATTACACCAGATCTAAATTAAACCACAGCATAAACACTGGCTTTATCATAGTGATTGAGTGGTGTTGATGTTATTCAATTTCATTTAGTAATTTACCTGCACCTCCACCTAATGCAACAGAAGTCTTAAATGTTGAATTCATCGTCATTTGAGACAAGAGCTTATTTTCAGTGAATGCGGCATGCTGGGCAGAGTTTAAAAAACCCCACATTTTTAGGGTCCTCTTACCCACATAGCAAAATTGGTACGAGCCGGATCTTGCCCACACAGTGTGCTTACACATGGCCCACATACCACAAATAATGGTGGCCCAAAGCTGGTTTGCCAGAGGTGGCCCACACATGGGACAGCACAAGACCAGTTGCAACCACAGTGCTGGCCCAGAACAGTTTCAGCTCTGGCCCCAGATGTCAGCCTAATGTGTACCATGAGTAAGACATGTAATAACAACATGTGCTAGAACATAATAGTGCAAAAGTAACATGACGTAACTCTGTTCAGACAGCGAATGGACTAATTTTCACATTGCGCTTTCCTACTCTCCCAGATTACTCGCCTCTGTCAGTGCGCTCCAGGGTGGCTGTGGCTACAATGTAGCAGCCATCACCAGTGTGTGAATGGGTGGGTGACTGGATGTGTAAAGCGCTTTGGGGTCCTTAGGGACTAGTAAAGCGCTATATAAATACAGGCCATTTACCATTTTATATACAACATGCCACATTCACCCAAACACACACTTTCTCACTACATTCATACACACTCACAACATACAGTCTGGAGGAGCCAAGGACTGAACCACTAACCTTCTGATGAGTAGGTGACCTGCTCCACCTCCTGAGCTAAAGACACCCAGTGGTAAATATGAGTAAACCCTCACTAGGTTTTGGATAAAGTGTACACTCACAAACCTGACAAACCTGCATTTGAAACGTTGCCTACCATAGTATAGTATTGTATACTATAGTATTGTATAGTATTGCAACATGGCATTTGTTTCTTCTAACTAAAATAGGAGAACATAAATAGTGTCATCATTGCCAGACCTGGCCCACATCTGGTTGACATACACCCTGCCATGACACCGTTCAGTCAGAAGTGCCAACTTGATGCCAGATCTGGGCCAGACCTGTCTGCTATGTGGGTATGACCCACAAAAGCATTTTGCGATTGATCAGGAGTTCCCAGTCTGATTCCAGCAGATGCAAATGTTTACTGCGTGTAAATAATTTTTATCGGTGTAATTCTGGGTTTTCCATTTCATTTTCAGGTATGAGAAGCAGTTTAATTTAAGGGGCTGAGACAAAATTCCCCCAGTCAAAGCAGAAACGGAAAAGGTTAACAGCCCTCAATTACGGAAGTGCTGCTCTGCCAAATAAAATATTTTACTTTATTTATGTATTTATACTAGCAAGGTGCAACTGTTGAAGTGTCTGAGTGTATCTCAGCATCTTTACAGCCTTAGATTTGGAGCTAGCATCCAGTAATCAAAGAAATCCCCTATTAAATGTACTCAGTATTTACATGATTGGTAATCATATGTTACATTTATAATGATTTAATATATAATTCTACATTTTTATTATATAATAATATGCAGTTATATTTATTATTTTACTTAATAATTCTGTTTTTATGACATATTGACAATATGTGAGTGATGACGAAGTAAGTTTCCAAACTTACTTCCTCTTTCTCAGCTTTATAAACCCACACTCGACTTCGTTCACTCAGACTTTCTCTCTTGCATCCTCACTGGTCCTCAAAG